ATATTCATCATCGTAGCTGTGGATAATTGAAATTGCAACAGCTGCTAACGTTGCAGCAACAAAGAGAGGCACACACACGTGGCCAAAAGCTAAAACATTCATGTGCTTCTGTGGACAGGCCGATAGGCACAACTGTGCCTGTCTTTCTCCCTCTTGCTCTCCCCTCCCCCTCTCTCTCTCTCGCTCTCTCTTTTTGTTTGTATCTTATGGAAGCTGTCATCAAGCTGGCGGCTGACCAGCTGACTGACAGGCGAACTTAAGGTCTTTATTGCGGCAACAACAAGTTGTCATTCGCCTTGCCCCTAATTAAAGAGGCACAAACAAAAAAGGAAAATATATATCTTTGGAGCGCCGCAGCTTACATACCCTTGCAGATACAATGTTTTTCTTGCTATTCAGACCTATTGCTGTTATGGGGCTCTATATAATATAGTTAACTAATTATTCTTATGATATAACTGCAAAGTTGGGAGCCCAGCCATTAAGTTGTCTAAAGAAAAACTTAATTTCTAATTGAAGTTCCTAAATATGACAATGTCAGACTCATATATGTGATATAGTGATAACTACAGCCAAGCACGAAAAGAGATCTCTGCCAAGTTTCATGAATATAAATATAAAGCTGAAGGACTACTTCAGACGGACAGTCCGAATATAGCTATATCTATTTATATGTTGCTACAGATCAAGAATATATATATATATATATATATATATATATATATATATATATATATATATATATATATACCTCATGCATTCGGACATATTCGTAACAGTGCGCTGGACATTTCGTGATAAAATTGAAATGTCCTCTGCAAGTGCTTAAAAATTAGTGCTTGGACAAAGCCCTCTCACAATGGAGTGTATGCATTATGCCTAATAGCAGAGCACACACACACACACACACACACACGCACACACACACACTGACACTCAGCTAGTTAAATGTCCTTTGTGGCACAGATGCCTTTGTCTCTGCCCCTGGACGAAAGCTGAAAGCTGCTCGGCTAATAAGCCCCGTGCCTGTCTTTACTGTTGGCTCAGACAATGAGTTGGCAGCTGGCAGCTGGCAGAATTGGATGCCATACGTCGCCGCGGGCCGCACTTGACCCAGGACACTTTGGGGGCAAGCGTTGATGAAGCTCAACCCCTCAGCCCTGCCCGAAGGCAGAGGCCACTCTCAGCTCTCACTTTATTTGTACACTTTTCACGCTCTTGCTGATAAATCTCGAACAATTAACATTTCTCCTAGCTGGTTGGCATTTTTATGCCAACCATCCAACTAACTTTTATGATAAAAAGTTATTATTTTTATTAAGAATTTGTGCTTGAGCTAAGCATTTAGCCTGCAGGTGGAATGCTGCTCAAAAACAATTCGACATAATTAAGTGTTGCCCAACAGTTGAGTAACAGTTCGAAGTGAGTTTGTGTAGCACAATCCGCACTTACACCTGGCCTGTATTAGCCCGTATTAGCCGCAGCAGCAGCACCAGCAGCAGGCAAAACTTTTCATATTTTTCCCTTGAACCAAAAACTCGTCAAAGTTTTGCAAAACTTTGAATTTATTTTGCATTTGCAAACTGTTTGAACAGCCATCCGACTGAAATGAACGCAACTAATCAGCCCGACGGCAGGTCGAAAAGAGGTTGTTAGAGAGGGGGAGGGGGGGGGGTGGGGGTGCTGCACCCTTTACAAATTGTAATGTCAGTTCATACTGTAATTTCTTATTTCGCTGTTGCGCATTCAAGAATTTATCTTGTTGCTGTCTTGTATTGTCCGTTAGCTAACGTTAAGCTCCTAAGTCCCAACCCCTGACCCGGTGTCCGCCCGGTAAACCCTGCACAAACCCTGAACAGGCAACATCTAGTGGGTCGCATTGTTGTGCACTGGGCCGCAGCTGGTCTGCCATTAAATCAACAATGGCGCTCTGTACACGTGCTTCCCTTCCTGTCGCCGTGTGTGTGTGTGTGTCTTTGTGTGTTTTATACCCTGCATTCAAGTTAGATAATCGTTTGCTTGAGTTATGTAGCCTCTAAAATATATATAAAATACGTGTATCTTTATTTGATTTATTCAAAAACTGGTTGAGAATTATAAGAAAAAGTTTAATATTTTCTTCCCTTGTGTCCCGGGTTCGAAGCCCAACTAAAGAGCACATACGAACTATTCTAATGGAATCTGTACCTGCTTTTGTTGATCTACAGGTTCTAAAATTGACTAGATGCAGACTTAAATCTTAATTGTTATGGCTTTCATTTAGTTTCAGAGCATCTGTAAGTCTTATATTCTATATAGATCGAGTATCTTGATTTGATATACTCTAAAACTGGTTGAGAATTAGAAGAGAAAGTTCAGCAGTGGCTTCCTTTAAGTCCTGGGACAAATACAATCTTTACCTGCTTTTATTGATCTGCAGGCAAAACCGACTAGTATTAGTTGTTCTGTCTTTCATTTAGTTGCAGAGCATCTGCAAGTCTTATGTGCTGCACAGCCCTCGTTATTGAGTTTTGTATGTTATTGTGCATTGTCTGGTTTTTCATTTGGCCCGCTTTCACATTTGAATTCGTCTCTAACCTTACTTTTATATGCATATATGTATTTATATAAATATATATGTATGTATATATATATTTTGCGTGGAATATTTCAACTTATTGTTATTGCCCTGGATAAAACAGTTCTCTGGGCTAAGGCAATTGAGTTTTTATGCGTCGTTGATTGCTGCACATTTCTCACAAACACACGCGCGCTCACAAAGTTCAACAGCTCACACACACTCACAGACAGACATATAGGCAGACAGACAGACACACATAGCGTGTGACATGCAATATTGATGTTCCTTGTAATGCAATTTGCACATTGTCCCCTGCTCTATTTGTCTTTGGCACTGGTTCTCGCACTGTTCTTGGTTTTTGCTCTGGTTCTTGCACTGGTTCTTTTTGTTATTGATTTCGATTTCTGTTTTCGTGAGTTGGTTTCTGATACATCTCTTGCCTGGCTTTCTTTACAGTACTATTCTTTTCTAGACAATAGTTTTGTTCCCTTTTTCCCTCCTTAGTTAGTTTCCTGTTCATGTTCCTCATTTTGCTGGTTCCAGTCCGAGTTCTGTTTGAGCAATTAGTTCAGTTTTCAGTTCGGTTATTCTATTTCTTAATTTTGCTTGGAGATTTACGACTTTGATGGATCCCCTTTAGTTCTGTTTATCTTTCGTTTTTAGCTTCATTATTAGTTCCAGGAACTAGTTCCATTTCTATACAATGGAGTTTCTTTTTCTAGATCTGCTTCAGTTTTTATTTCAAAATCTGCTTTTGTTATGCTTTTTAGAACTCGTTGCCTACCTCTCTCTATCTTTCTTTCTTTTTGGCCTAAATTTCTTGCTTTGTTTCTTGCTTGAGCTATGTTTCAGGATCTGTTTCTGGTTCAATTGCTGATTCATTTTCTGCTTCGGCAGTTTCTGGTTCTTTTTAGAAATCTATGGTTCATTGAATTTGACTTCTAGTTCATTGCGTGTTCCCTTTTTGTCTGTGAGCTTAGTTCAGAGTTCAGTTTCTGGTTCATATAATGTTTTTCTCAGGTTCAGTTTTTATTCCTTCTTTTTTTTTTCAAGTTCTGGTTCGGTTTTCAGTTGAACTTTTATTATTTTAGTTTTTGGTTGAGCATTTAGTTTATATTTAAAGATTTTATTTGCTGCCACAGCTTTCAGTTTGGTTTCTAGCGCTGTTTAATTTTGTTGTTGTTGTCTGTTGAATATATAATTTTTTGTGCCTTCAATTTTAATGACCGGCATGTGAAGGTTATAAACGGTTGGCCAACAGTTCCGCCTGGCTGTACGTATTGATACGGCGCCTCCATAAAGTATGCTACGATAATTTTGCTTCACAAATATGCTTGTTGCTGTTGCTGTTGCTGTTGCTGTTGCTCGGTTCGCTTCTGCTCGAGTTTAATGGCGGGGCATGTGGAAAAGTGGAAAATTCCAACGAAGTGCGGTCATTTTAATAACGAAAAACATCAGCTCTTTATGCACTCGTTGCCATTGTTGTTCCTGCTGCTCGTTTCGTTGTTTGGCTTCTATTTTACTTGCTTTCCTCTCCTGTTTGTTGTTGTTCTTTTATTTTATGACTTTCTCTCTTGTTGTTGTTGTTGTTGTTGTTGTTGTTGTTAGTAGCTGCGAAAAACTTTTTCAATATACCAGAGTACTTTTTGTTTTCTACCCCGTTGCCTTGCATCCCATATTTTTTCCATTCACTCCCACTCGCCCCTTCTCTTTGTGTGTGTGTGCATTGCATTTAGCACTATCCAGCTTAATTTTTAAATAATACAAAACATTTGCGCTCAAATAAATGCATATAAAATTTTAGATTTTCACGTTGCTCTCCCCCTTTCTCTCTCTCTCTCTCTTTCTCTCTCTCTCTCTCTCTCTCTCTTTAAACTCTTTATAACCTCAACATATTCTAATTGCTGTCTTAATGGATTCTTAATTTTTGGCTGTTTGCCAAAATTTCAATTGCCCATTCAAATATATATTTGCAGTAAAGTTAGTTATATGTGGTCGGCGCAGCGTGTTCTGGCTTTCATTTTCCATCCAAAATCTCGCCACTTGCTAAACTATTGAAAGTTTTCAACTTTGCCTGGCAAAAGTTTAACCATAAACTTGCTTATTGCTTCAATTGAGAGTGAAATACTCAAGAGCTCACATGACTTAGAATGAAAAATGAGATAAAGTTGTTAAAAATAGTCAAAACTCAAACAGATTTTTGAGATTGCATTTCTATATTAAACATTTACAACATATTTTTATCGGGGAGAACTCAACTTTGTTTCCTTAAGTGTGATGCAGACTTTCCTTATTATAAAGATTATTTTCAATACTTGGAAATACTTCGAGTTCCTGGCTTGAAGTCTAGTCTAGTCAATATATATTTAATATATATTTTTTGTTTATATTATCCCAGCTACATATTAAAATATCTTCGTTTTTATTCTTCCCTTCGCAGGGTCAGTGCTCGCCTGGCACACTGCCCATGGCCTGGGTCGATGAGGGACCTGGTCCGCCAATCTGTCCGCGTTCCTGTGCCGAACAGCAGCCACCGGCGAGCAGTCCTGGCGCGCGCACCGACGATAATAAACTCAAGTATTTCATAAATGCAAATACGATTAACTATAAGTCGCCGCATATGCGTTTAAGTCAAAGCAACAGCAACAACAATAACTATAAGGCCATGTCTAGAGTGCGACGCGATAGGCAATGGGACGAGCTGGCAACGGAGGCAGCAACGACCACAACAGCCGAGCAGGAGTTTGAGGAGCAGGAACAGGAGGAACTGGAACAGCCGGAGGCAACCACACTCTCGGCCACAGCCAGCAGCAATGATGTCGACGAACTGGAGGATCGGTCCATGCCCACGTTTCCCTACAGCCACCTGCAAACACACGAGCAACTTAGCGCCAACGAACAGCAACAGCAACAGCAACAACAACAGCAACAGCAGCAACAACAACAGTGCCTTGATTACCTGGGCGATGCGGCCGAGACGAGTCCACAGCATTTGTGCGGCCTGCGGTCGCCGGGTCAGCTGCTCGCGCGCCTGCGCACCCTTCGCCTGCGGCATTGCTGCGAGCGCAGCGTGTTCAGTGCGCTGCACACGTTGGCGCTAAATGTGACGCTGACGGATCGGGACGAGTGCGTCCGCCTGCTCAGTGATTTGCTCGATGTGGATGCGTTGGCCAATCGCCTCACCTGCGAGCTGGCCGAGATACTCTTTCGCTTCGACTGCCGGCAGGTGTACTCGCTGGTCAATCAGTGCGATGACTGCAAGGTGAGTGCCAAGGGGATTCTATATATATATATATATACGTTTATGTAAGGGTGGATGGCCTTTCGATCTGCCCATTGGAGTGGGCAGATTTCTTGCTCTCTCACCAGCATTCTCTAGCTAGGGATTACTCTTGGAAGAATTTGAGTATTTCCTTTGTGCATATTTCTCTTCCGTTCTTTTTGTCTTTATGGGGAAAGCAGAAATAGATTCGGGCAACTCTTTGTCTCTCCTGGAGTTCTCCATGGCTAACATATTTGGAGTAGAATCCATGATACATGCTTCCAAGATCTTTAGACTATTTCTCTGCCTTCCTCTCGGGCTGTGCCTTTATCTCCTCAATGGTTAGCACAGGTGAAGTAGCATAGATTCTCTGAACTAGCTCCAGACTCTCTCTCCCTCTCTCTCTCTCTCTCTCTCTCTGCCTCCCTCTCTGCGTCTCTATTTCTCAGTGGCACGACACGCGCTCGCATTACATCATGTTTTAATTAAATACTGGACAATGGGTTGGCAATCTTTGCCACAGCGCAGCGCAACGCAACACAGCTCACATTTAAATTCAGCCCGTTAACCCCAAAATATGCCAAATCTCCATGGCCCCAGCTCCCCTGGCCACAGTCCAACAAGACAAATGAAAACACAGGCAAATGTATATACGAACAAAGTATACGACCAGGCAATACCCTGCCTGCCCTTTTGCTGGTTATCTCTTTAAAGTTTTGTGACTGGGTTGGGAAAAAAATTATTTGAAAACATGTACAGAGTTGTGCGTGCTCGAGTTAGAATGGACACAAAACTTATTTGTGTTAGTTATAGAATACTATATATTGCAGCTGCAGCTACAGCGAAGCCTGCCTACAAGGAAAGGTCATTTTTGCAACCTTTCGCCCGTCTGCCTTACGCTGGGTATTTAGCTAGCTTAAGGAACCGAATGCTGATGCTGCCTCTGCTGCCTCTGCTGCTGCTGTTGTCAGTGTGTAAACTCTCGGCTATATGGCTAAATCCAGCAGAGGGACGCCGACACTTCCGTGCGGCAACAGCGCTGCGTGACATTTTTAGCTGCTCATTAATTATTGAAGTCGCTTCGCGCGCGCCCGCCAAAGTGGACGGACCGTGCCCCCACTTCAGAAATCCGCGCACAGCAGTCGTCCCTGTTCAGGGTTTAATATTTCTGCTCGTAATTATCAGTGTTTTTGGAGAGCGCACACAAAATGGGCGGAGGGGGTTGGGCTAAAAAAGCAACGCGTTGCGGTTAATTTGTGGCACTTAGAGGTCGCCAACTGGCAACTGAAGCTCTCTGCCTGTGCCGCATTTTTCACTGTCTGTGCAAACATTTGGATATTTGCATATTTGATGGCCGTGTTTGTGTGTGTGTGTGTGTGTGTGTGTATATATAATTGTCAATTATTCGTTGCGAGCCTTTAAACAACTTGCAACAAGCAGCTGACCAACTGGCAGCTCCAACAAGCTGCAACCATGTCAACGCGGCAGTTGCATAAAGAGAACGGCTAGGAGAAGGGCTGTCAGGGGGGGGGGGGGGTGGCACAGGATGTTGCGACAATGCGACCGCTAATGAGCGCCACACAAAACTGGGCAACAGGGGCAAAAGGAAAAGCTTTGCTCGGGCGCAAAGATGAAAAAGAAAAAGTAAAAAAAAAAAAGAAAAGAAGAAAAAATGCCGTGAATGGCCTCTGTCGCAAAGCACGTTGCAAGCATGTGAATTGCGCTGCTGATTAAGAAAAACTTGAGGCAGCTGCTAAGCAGCAGCAGCAGGAGCAGAGGCAGCAGCTACACACACACACACACACACGCACGCAAATTTAAATTTAAATTACGCATACGCCCGGTGTGCGGGCCCTGTGTGTGTGTTTGTGTGTGTGCGTGCCTGGCACACATTTAAACGCCTGCACAACAACAACAACAACAACTGGGAAACTAACAGCCAGCGGCTGTAGCCTGTTACAGCTGCCCGCGCCCCATCTTCTCCCCCTACCCTCAATCCGCACTATAAGCAGCCGCCCAAGCCCCCCCTTCTGCTAGGCCTTACAGCAGCAGCAGCATCAGCCTTAACATGTTTCTAGTTCGAAACGCGGCTGCTGTGCAAATCAGGTGATGCCGAGAGAGTGAGAGAGAGAGAGAGCGCGTCTTGTCAGCTGGCTGCTTAATCCGCTCTCACTCTCTCACTCTCACTCTCGCTCTCATGCTATTCAGCGCCGACTCTCACATGACACGAAACATTTTCGTTTCTTTTTTCGCAGTTTATATAAGTTGGGGCTTAGGCAACTTTTTTGGGATGCCTATTTTAGCCAGTGTTGGCTAAGCTTGAAAAATTGTTTGATTTTTTTAATAATTGTTTTTTTTTTTTTTTTTGCCCTCAGGCACAAATATTTAGTTTTTTGATTTGTATTTTGCTCGAGTCGAAACTAGTTTCATTTTGACTTTTCCAGTCGCCAGTTTTTGAATATTCAACTGCGCGCGCTGCGCTCCACATTCAGCGCCTGCCACAGCTTCCAATTGCCAAAAAAAAAGAAAAGAGAAGCAAAATGAAAATCTAGAAAGAAAAAAAAATCGTAGAAAAAAGAAAATAGAATAAGTTCGCACAGAGGCGCTCACATTTTGGGCTTCCAGTTGGGCTGCTCGCACATACACGCTTTGCACACATGGCCAAGACGCGAGACCTACTTGAGGCTCTGCAGTTTCGGCCAGTTTTAAATTAATTAACTCGACGGCTTAGGCAGCTGCCTTCTATATATATGCAACATATATGCTGCCTTATCTAATATGTTGTTGCTGTTGTTGCTGTTGTGTGACGCCCTCATCTCATAGTTACGACTGTGTGTGTATTTATGATTAAGTTCACCGCAAGTCGTCTAATTAGTCAAAAGGACTCTTGCCTGCTATTGTGGCCAACCGCAGTGTCCAAAACTGCCAAAATGCGACGCTGCTTACACAGCCGCACACACACACACACACACACTCGCACTCGCACACCTCTAACCCATTTTCATATTTGGGTTACGAGTCTTTTGATGGACAAATAAACGTAAATTGGTTGATGGCCATAGCAGAAGCTGGCGAATATGTTGCCAAAAGAGATTCAAACACACATATTACTTTATATTGCATACCTTTAGGGGCTTTTAGGGGCTAGCTGGCACTTTTATAAAACTAGTTTGGCAAGCCATTTGAAACGAACGCTACGTTTTTTTTTCCCCATTTTATCGTTGAATTCCGCGAACAATATTTGTGAAGAATGTCAAAACTATTCGGTTTGAAACAATTCTCAACTAAAATGTATTGTTTTAACTCTAATTTAAAGGGGGATTTCTCCCATTTGATCCTATGAAAATAACTGAACGTAATATTTTTATTATGGCTGTTAAATTTAATAGCGTTGTTTCCACTCTCATTTTGAATTTTACTTCTAATACTACAATCCAAACACAACTGAAATCATGTTTGAGGTTTTTCAAGCAAGTGTTTCATTTCCATTCATTCCCTGAACAGACGAACACAGCTTGTCAAACAAGTGTTTCGTTTCCATTCATTCCTTAAACTGACAGACATAGCTTATCTAGCATTGTTGGCCATTTTGTTTAAACTTTTTATTTGTATTATTAAATTGTAAGCTCCACTGTTCAAGAAGCTGTCTGAGAAGCTTTCATCTCAAGTAAATTGCTCTCCAGTTGTTCCTGTTTTTTAATTCATTTTCATGCCACAACGGCGGTCAGAGTTCATACGCCTGGGTTCAAGGTTACATTCAAAATTTGACAAACTTATACAGAAGTATGTATTTTTATATATATATATAGTGTGTATATATATTTATGTATAGCTACGTTGTTTGGCGCGCTCTATAACACTTTTTGAGCTGTCGTTTTTTATTTATTTCTATTTTTTTTTTTTGTTAGGCAAAACTTTTTGTTCTATCGCATTCTGTTGCTTGGCATCATCGTAATCTATTGCCCATCGAAGATTTTGACAAACACAACACACAAGGCACAACGCACACACACACACACACAAACACGCACACACACTCGGCGACTGTGTGTAAATTTGCATTTTACATATTACAAAGACACTTACGTCATCGCTGATACGAGCTTCTGTGTGAGGAGGAGGGGGGGTTGAGGTGTGTGGGGGCGGGCTTGCCAGTTGGGGAGAGTAGGCGTTGCAGGGTATTTCGTGGGTGGGCGGTTGTCGGTCCGTTGAAAGGAAAATTGTCAAAAGCGGAAGTAGCGTAATTTCATAAATGATTGATTACACACACTTTACACGCATTCTCACTTATGTGCACACACACACACACACACGCGCGCACACACACACGTGCACCCACACATGAATATTGCTTAGGCTGTTGCTGCTCTTGTCCAGAGCTGGCGACAGCTGACGTACACACTCACACACACACACACACACACACACACACACATGCATAACCACACAACTATTGCCGTTTGATAAAGCTTTCGGTATATGCCCTGCCTAGCAGTGTGTGTGCGTGTGTGTGTGTGAGTGTGTGTGTGTGTTTTTTACTGCTGCTGCTCTTCTACTTCTGCCTCAGCTTCTTCTTCGTTGCGTTCATTTATTGCGGTTTTTTTGGACACATGTGCGCCGGCTGCGTAAAGCCGAAAGAAAACTTTGCTGCGGTTACCAATAATTTTTTTCTTTTACGCCAGTTTTTTGCCATCAACATCAGCAACGGCCACGGCTTCAGCAGTTGCTGCTACCTTTTGCCACACCCTCGAAAGTAACCGCTGATGCCCAACCACTCCACCACTAAACCGCCGTACCCCAACCCTCCTGCTTCTCCGGCTCTGCATTCGCTTTATTTACAATCTAATAATTTATCGACTTTTGCGTGGGCGCCGCGCGGCACGTTTACTGAACGGAAATGCCAATGGGAATGGGAATGGGAATAGGAGTGGGATTGGGAATGGGCATGGAACATCAGATCTGTTCGACAAGGCGACAAACAGCTAAATTGCGTATACGCT